GCCAACATGGTGAAACCTTGCTTCTACAGAACAAAAACAAAACAACAACTAAATAATGTTTTATTTTTCTGGATTAGAAGATGTTTGTGACATTTGTCAGTTTTGAAGAATTTGTAATTTGTAAATTAGATTTCTAATTTTAAGGAAACACTTTCATCAATAAATCAACAAATAAGTAAAGTATACAATTCAATGGCTTTTAGTATAGTTTCTTCTGATTTGCTCCTCAGCTTCCTCCTTAGCCTTCTCGCTGTGTGTTCACATGGTTGTCTCTGTGTGCACACCTGTCTGGTGTCCCTCTTTGCCTGTGTCCTCATCTCTTCTTCTTCTTATTATTATATCTCATTGTTTTTTGTTTTTGAGACAGGGTTTGTTCTGTTGCCCATGCTGGAGTGCAGTGGTACAATCATAAGTCACGGCAGCCTCAACCATCTGGACTCAAGTGACCCTCCCTCCTCAGCCTCCCGAGTAGCTGGGACTACAGCCATGATGCCTAGCTAATTAAAAAAAAATTTTCTTGGCCGGGCGTGGTGGCTCACGCCTGTAATCCCAGCACTTTGGGAGGCTGAGGCGGGTGGATCACGAGGTCAAGAGATCGAGACCATCCTGGTCAACATGGTGAGACCCCGTCTCTACTAAAAATACAAAAAATTAGCTGGACACATGCCTGCAATCCCAGCTACTCAGGAGGCTGAGGCAGGAGAATTGCCTGAACTCAGGAGGCGGAGGTTGCGGTGAGCCGAGATCGCGCCATTGCACTCCAGCCTGGGTAACAAGAGCGAAACTCCATCTCAAAAATTTTTGTAGAGATCAGGGTCTTGTTTGTTGCCCAGGATGGTCTTGAACTCCTGGCCTAAAGCAATCTGAGCCATGGCACCAAGTTCTAATCTCCCCTTCCTTAATAGGACATCAGTCATATGAATTAGGGCCCACCCATACAACCTTGTTTTACCTTAATTACCTTTTTAAAGGCTCTATCTCCCAATACAGTCACATTCTGAGTTACTGGGGGTTAGGGTTTCTACATATGAATTTGGGGGGTAGTGAACACAAATTAGCTCATAACAGCAACCATTACCTTATCTAATTTTTAGAACATTTTTAACACCCCCTAAAGTAGCCCTGAAGCCATTTAGAAGTCACATCTGCTCTTTCCCCATGGAAGCCCTGGGCAACCATTCATCTATTTTCTGTCTCTGTAGATTGACCTATTCTGTATATTTCATATAAATGGTATCATACAATATATGGTCTTTTTTGACTGGTCAATAATTATACGTCCTCTTTCATTCCTGATTTCAGTAATTTGAGTCTTCTTTCTTTTACTTCTTCCTTAGTCTAGCTAAGGGTTTGTAAATTTTGTTGATCTTTTCAAAATAACTGAACTTGGCCAGTTACAGTCGCTCATATCTGTAATCCCAGCACTTTGAGAGGCTGAGGCAGATGGATTGCTTGAAGTGAGACACCCCCTCCCAACACACACGCGTGCACACACACACACACAAAGTAGCCGGGCAGGGTGGCCTATTCCTGTAGTCCCAGCTACTCAGGAAGCAGAGGCAGAAGGATCCCTTGAGCTCAAGAGTTTGAGGCTGCAGTGAGCAATGTTTGCACCACTGCACTCCAGCCTGGGCAACAAAAAAAGACTTCATCTTCAAAAAAAAAATAAATAAATAACTAGCCAGGCCCGGTGGCTCACCCCTGTAATCCCAGCACTTGGGAAGGCCGAGGTGGGCAGATCACTTGTGGTCAGGAGTTCAAGACCAGCCTGACCAACAAGGAGAAACCCTGTCTCTACTAAAAATACAAAATTAGCTGGTCGTGGTGGTGTGTGCTTGTAATTCCAGCGACTCAGAAGGCTGAAGCGGGAGACTAGTTTGAACCTGGGAGGCAGAGGTTGTAGTGAGCTGAAATTGCACCACTGCACTCCAGCCTGGGTGACAGAGCCAGACTCCATCTCAAAATCAAAACAAAACAAAACAAAACCCTGACTTTCGGTTTCACTGTTTTTTCTTTTCTCTATTGTTTTTTAATTCTCTATTTCATTGATTTCTGCTCTAATATTTATTATTTCCTTTCTCATGATCGCCTTGGGAATACTTTGCTCTTTTCTGGTTTCATTAGGTGGAAGCTTAGGTTATTAATTTGATATCATTCTTTTATTTTTTATTGTTTTGAGACAAGGTCTTGCTCTGTCCCCAGGGTTTTACCATGTTGGCCAGTCTGGTCTCAAACTCCTGACCTCAAGTGATCTGCCCACCTTGGCCTTCCCAAGTGCTGGGATTACAGGCGTGAGCCACCAGGCCTGGCCAATTGTTTTTTTAAGAGATGAAGTGTTTTTTGTTGCCTAGGCTGGAGTGCAGTGGCACGATCATGGCTGACTGCAGCCTTGAACTCCCAGGGTCAAGCAATCGTCCCACCTCAGCCTCCTGAGTAGCTGGTACTACAGGCATATGCCACCACGCCCAGCTAATTTTGTTTGTTTGTTTGTTTGAGACAGAGTCTCACTGTGTTGCCCAGGCTGGAGTGCAGTGGCATGATCTTGGCTCACTGCAACCTCTGTCTCCCAGGTTCAAGTGATTCTCATGCCTCAGCCTTCCAAGTAGCTGGGATTACAGGCATGTGTCACCATGCCCAGCTAATTTTTATATTTTTAGTAGGGACAGGGTTTAACAATATTGGCCATGCTGGTCTCAAACTCGTGACATCAGGTGAAATGCCTGCCTTGGCCTCCCAAAGTGCTGGGATTACAGGTGCGAGCCACCATGCCTGGCCTAAGTTTTAATTTTTTTTTTTTTTTTTTAGACAGAGTCTCGCTCTTTCTCCCAGGCTGGAGTGCAATGGCACGATCTCGGCTCATTGCAACCTCCACCCCCCGGGTTCAAGCAATTCTCCTGCCTCAGCCTCCCGAGTAACTGGGACTATAGGCGTGCGCCACCATGCCCAGCTAATTTTTGTATTTTTAGTAAAGAAGGGGTTTCACCATGTTGACCAAGATGGTCTCGATCTCTTGACCTCGTTATCCAACTGCCTCAGCCTCCGAAAGTGCTGGGATTACAGGTGTGAGCCACCGCGCCCGGCCACCCAGCCTAATTTTAAAAATTTTTTGTAGAGATAGGGTTCTCACTATGTTGCCCAGGCTGGTCTCGAACTCCTGAGCTCAAGCCATCCTCCCAAATCAACCTCCCAAAGTGCTTGGATTACAGGCATCAGCCACCACACCCGGCTCTTCTTTTTAAATACACATGCTTACAGCTAAAGATTTCCCTCTAAGTGTTGCCTTAGCAGCATCTCATACATTTTGTTATGTTACATTTTTGTTTTCATTCATTTAGAGTGTTTTCTAATTTTCTTTGTGATTTTTTTCTTTGATCCATTTGTTATTTAGGAGTGTGTTAATTTCCACAACTTTGTGAATTTCATAAGTTTCTTTTTACTGATTTTTAACTTCCTTCCATTGTGGTCAGACAACATACTTTGTATGTTCAATTCTGTTAAATCTGTTGAGGCCTGTTGTATGGCCTAGTGTATGATCTGTTCTGGAGAATATTCTTGTGATCTTCAGAAAAATGTGTACAGTTATCCGTGGTTATCTGTGGGAGAGTGGTTCCACGACCTTTGGAGTATACCAAAATCCATGGATGCTCAAGCCCCTGATATAAAATGGTGTAGTATTTGCGTATAACCCATGAATATCCTACTGTATACTTTAAATCATTTCCAAATGGTGATTCACACCTATAATCCCAGCAATTTGGGAGGCCAAGGCAGGTGGATCGCTTGAGCCCAGGAGTTTGAGGCCAGCCTGGGCAACATGGCGAAACCCGTCTCTACTAAAAACACAAAAATTAGCCTGCTGTGGTGGTGGGCACCTGTAATCACAGGTATTTGGGAGGTTGAGGCAAAAGAATTGCTTAAAACTGGGAGGTGGAGGTTGCAGTCAGCCGAGATCATGCCATTGCAACTCCAGCCTGAGCCACAGAGTGAGACTCAAAATAAATAAATAAATAAATAAATAAATAAATAAAAATAAATCCAGGTTACTTATAATGCCTAATAAAGTGCAAACGCTATGTATATAGTTGTGGTGGTTTTTTGTTTTGTTTTGCTTTTTGTTGGTTTTTGAGACGAAGTCTCGCTCTGTTGCCAGGCTGGAGTGCAGTGGTGCCATCTCGGCTCACTGCAATCTCCGCCTCTCAGGTTCAAGCGATTCTTCTGCCTCAGTCTCCCAAGTAACTGGGACCACAGGCGCGCGCCACCACGCCCAGCTAATTTTTGTATTATTAATAGAGATGGGGTTTCACCATGTTGGCCAGGATGGTCTCAATCTCTTCCCATCCAAGTACTAACTAGACCCCACCCTTAGCTTCCAAGATCCGACGAGATCGGGCGCATTGAGGGTGGCATGGTCGTAGACGATTGTCTCGATCTCTTAACCTGGTGATCCGCCCGCCTCAGCCTCCCAAAGTGCTGAGATTACAGGCGTGAGCCACCACGCCCGACCTCGTATATAGTTGTTATACTGTATTGTTTAGGGGAATAATGACAAGAAAAAAGTCTGCACGTGTTCAGTGCAGATGCAATTTTTTTCCTGAATATTTTTCATCTGAGGTTTGTTGAATTCAGGGATGTGGAACCCCCCCGATGGGAAGAGCTGATTGTATTTTACTGTTGTTGGTTGCAGTGTTGTACACAGACGTTAGGATGCTTTTTTTAAATGCAGATTTTTAAGGCTATACTCACTGAGTCCTCTGCCCCAGGGCCTGATATCTGTATCGGTAATAAGTTCTCCACATATTTCCTGCGCAGTACCCACGGATCCGGAATCCATGGCCCCACAAGTCCTTCAGGTCTGGTGTCCTTTGATTTAAGTGAGTAACTCTGGTGATGTCATCGATCGCTCTGACAGATTTTTCTTTTGCTCTAGTCTTGCAGCCAGGTCTGCGGGAAGAGAATCCTGTGTTCTCAGGCTCGGCTTGCGTCTCATTCTGCCTGGCAGAGCTACGGAGGTATTGGGCCGCCGGGACATCACGTGGACTGGGGCCAGATAATGGCGGGCGCTGCAGAAGATGCGCGATCGCTTTTTCGGGCTGGGGTCCGCGCGGCTCTGGAGGCCTGGCCGGCCTTGCAGGTCAGTGGGGCCACGGCAGGGTCAAGCTTAGGGCCCGGGGCGGAACAGGAGTTGGTTGGGCTAGGTGCCTGAGGCTTGGCTAGGCGGCGTAAGAGGGGTTTGCTGGGTGGCGTAAGCGGCCTCCAGGCTACGCCAGATCTTCTCCCGGTCTTCTCCCAAGTTGACGTGGTGGGCTTGGGCCTGTGTTTGCAGATCGCTGTGGAGAATGGCTTCGGGGGTGTGCACAGCCAGGAGAAGGCCGAGTGGCTGAGGGGTACAGTGGAGGATTACTTCATGCGCAATGGTGAGTGAATGTGAGGCGCTGCCACCTGCCTGTGTGGGGGTGTGGAGAGGAGAAGCCCCCCCCCCCCCCCC